GGGGAGGGGTGCGGTGAGCCCCGAGGCTGTTGGGCAGGCAGGCGCCTGGGTCACCTGGGCTTTCCTCGGCTTTTTCCCCCGGTACCTGTGGCCTTCTGTGCCATCTCCTCTCCCCGTTTTGTGCTTTGCGGTGGTGGTGGTGTTTATAAGTAAACTAAGCTGAACGTGAAGCTTAAAAGTTAAACTCTGCTGTTTTCTCCTTCATTCTTTCATAATATTTACTTTTTTCAGCTGTTTTCATCTCAAATTCATCACGTGGAAGTTAGGAAAGCTTGTGCCTTGTTTATGAGGCAACACCAGTATAAGTTTGACTCTGTAAGTAACGTGTGTTAGGCAGTTTGGTACGTGGGGTTTGGAGGGGATGTGGGAGGGGGCGAGTGGTTTAGCCACAAACATACCTGTATTAACATATGCCCTGAAAACATGTCGTGTGCTCTGCCAGGTTGATGCATGGAAACAAAGAGAAATGGGAGTGTGATTGCCTGCTTACCTTATTTGAATTGCAGTCACACAAGTTTGTCTTTGTATTTTTGAAGTTTTTGTAATCAAGCCACTTACTATTGCCAAGTAACTAGCAGATTGACACTTAGTTCTGTAGTAAGATTCTCTGTGGAGTAACCATTGCAGAATTTAGTAGATAGAAAGTGTCAAGGATTTTAGAATGAAAAACATCAAAAGATGGTGGAACACTTCAGAGCGTGTTTAATCGTTGTATAAAGTCATGCTTTAAGGCAGTTTTTTGATTGGTTGGGTTTTCAGGTGTCTTTGGTTTGGGTTTCTTTTGGTGTGTGTTCTTTCTTCACCTGTAATCACAGATAAAGGCTTAATCTAATCCAGGAGGGAGATGAGTCACTGAGACCACTTGGACTCATGCTCCTAATTTTATTTTAGGATCTTTTGGTACCCCAAATCATTCCAGTAGGGAATATCTAAAGTTATACTCCCACATCCCTCAGAACCCCAAAATGATGAGAACTGGCTAGATAGATTTGAGACTAGTCACAAATTTGGTGTCTGTTCCCCCTGCCCTCTCCCCTCCTGTTCAACAGCTAGTAGTATCTGGCATAGTGTTCAGGTTTAACTTGGCTTTCCAGCTGGCTGAGATTTATATTTGTGGTTTTTTTTTTTTCTTTGTTTTGTTGAAAGTATGTGGAAGGATCATTTGAAAAATACCTTGAACGACTAGGAGATCCAAAGGTAAGACTGGCCTAATACTTGTCAAATGAATAAAATTAGAGTAATTAGGAGATGGTTTAAAATGTGGTGTTTTGGAGGTGTTTTTTTTCCAGTTAACTCAAATTCTGGAATCTTGTTTACAAGAACAGCCTACACAGACTGGACAGGAAAGCTGAGGCCTCTTACGGGCTTTATTTCTAATTGCAATTCTTCTGTAAGAAGTAAAGCAAAATGTGTGGAGTGTACATCAAGTCAGATGATTATCAGGCTTTGCAATCCTTTGTTTCTTCCTTTACTCCCAGATTCAACTGCTAGAGTTCAAACTTTAATTTCTTTAGGCTTTAACCAGTAAGTATGGTGAATGCAGTGGTCTCTGAAGAAAACGTAGTGGCTTTAATTAAAAAAAAAAAAAAAGGTGCCTTGAGTGATGTTTAAGAGTCACTACCAGAACTAGCTCCATTTTTCTTATGTCCATACCATATTGCAGATTTTGTTTCCCTGGAAATCCTAATATCTCAACTCTCAGTCCACTGATTGTTTTAACAAGCTGATGAATTTGATTGTGTCTTAATGGTACAGAGAGCTAGAATAGAGTTCTTGGTGTTGAAGCTATTTTAGCTTTGCTATCTCATGTAATCTCCTAATCTTGCTAGGAAAGTGCTGGCCAGCTGGAAATGAGTGCTCTATCTGTGATGTACAAGTAAGTGTCTCTTAAGTTTCACTTTGTTTTGGACTTGATGGTGTTTGGGTTCTGGCCCCAGAGGCTTTGATTTGTTTCTTGTTGAGATACTAACGTGAAGCACAGTAAACTAATGAAATTACTTAAACTAACCTGCCAGTGGGTGTCACCACAGCTGCTGTTCTCCTGGTGTGGATTAAGGGCAGGATCAGTTTCTTTTTGCTAATGTTAAAATCCAGAATCAACCATTTCCTTCTAGCAGCTGAAGGATGGAAAATGGGGAAAAAACAAGGAGCTGTGTGTAGTGGAAACACTGCGTTTGTTACAAGTGTACCTAAAGCTCAAGCAGGTGTTCTGAAAGCTCCAATAGTGCAAATACTTGTGCATAAACCCTGATATCAATTTCAAAAGTAACATAAGCCTGTGCAGGTGTAGCTGAAAATTATGCTGTCTTGTAACAAGCAGCCTGAGAGACTCTGGTGGTAGAAGGAAGAACCCTCATGCTCCTTCTGTTACAGAACTAAGGAGCAAACAAGTTCTGCAGGAGGTACTAGTTCCCTGTACTGAGGTGCTGATCCTTCTGCAGGGTGACTAAATCTCTTAAATTGTCTCAGTGTCAGCACTCTGCTGCAAGCATAAGTACTTGACCTATTCTGTGACTGAGTATAATGGTCTTTCCTGAGTATATTTGCTTTTCCTTCCCCTGAGATGGGTGGTGTTTGCTCCCCTAACTATTGCTGTGTGGGAGCATTCATTTATCAGGAAGTGTATTCTCCTTTTTGTAGTAGAATCTTTCTGTAAACCATCAGTGGATTCTCTAAACAGCTCCCTACAAAATTCTTCATATGATGGTTCTACAAAATGTGCTCCTTCAAGTCTGGTTTTTCCTCTGCTTACCTAGGCAAGACTTTATTCTGTACCGGTACCCTGGGAAGCCACCCACTTATGCTACAGACAATGGCTTTGACAACAAGGTGAGGGGAAACAAGGCAATTCCCTACCCCTGAATCCTGGTTACCTCCAGTCCTGCTCGAGTTGTAAAAACTGGCCACTGGAGTTGAGCACTTTTAAGTCCATTGCTCTTTCCTACCTGAACAAAACCCCAAAGCTGACTCAGCTCCTGGAAAAAGCACAGTGCCTTGTGTGCTGTTCACCTGCCAGTCTGCTTTGATCCTCCAGCTTATTATTGGAACAAGTTTAATTTTGGTGGAAGAGGTCACATCACAATTGCAGAATATTCACTCATGTTTCTGAAATATTTGAGTAAAAACATTTATCTGTGGGAATTTCACTGATCTAATAAGGTAATAAAATGAATATCTGGGTTGAGTTGAAGAGCAGAACAAGATGTATTTATTATCTTGGTGAAGAAAAGGTGTTCTGCCTACTCCCAGTGCCTCTCTTCCTGCAGTCAGATGAGGTGTGCTATTTTTCTTCCTGAAAAGGGGAAGTTAATGGGAATGGGGTAACAAATTCATTTATTCCTATGACATACAAATTGAGCCCAGTTAAGAATGGGAGCTAATGGAACAGTTTATCTACACAGGAATTGTTCCTGGGGACAAAAAGGACATAAAGGAGAAATACTCTGTAATCTGAGCCCTCTTGTCCTTGCTGCAGTGGTGTAGATGTGCCCACACGGTTACTTGGCTAGCTCAGGCATGATGCCAGTGACGTTGCTTCAGTGTGGATTTCAGTATGGGCTATGGTATTTGCCAGAGTGGCTAGTCTGCTCTGAAATCTGTGCTGCTGCAGCTCCTGCTCTCCTCTGTTGGGTAGTATTACTGCCTGTGTTTACATGGGCTGCTTTCTTTTCCCATATAGTCTCCTGTGTAGCTTAATCTAATTCCAAAATGAGCTAACTTTAAAAATCAAGCACTGTGGTCTGTGTGTTTGTCCTCAAAGGCTTTGCCACCAGAGCTCTCCTGAAGTGCTGGCAGCTGTCTGTCATCAGGCTGCATGTACAGGCAGCAGCTCCTCTGGGTGTTGCTCCTTCTCACCCTGAGATGAGCACTTGGGCTGGCAGAAGACCAAATGCACACCAGATTAAGAGGTGTGGCATCCTGGTTCCTGCTGGTTCCACTGGGAAGCATCCTTGCTGGCAATGTGGTGACACCTGCCAGAGGGCACCTGCTAGGGGCAGCTGGCTGTGGTCAGGAGCCAGGCTGGGTTTTGATGTTATCAGTTCCCTCAGGGTATCAATGTGTATGTTGCAAACACATCTTTCCAAAAAGCAGCAATAATTCTGCTTATTGCAAGGTGTTGGTGAGGGCTGGAGAAGGAGATGCTCTGGTAGCCCCTCAGGTTGGAAGGGGTGATATGTGCCTCAGACAGTGTATTTCAGGGGTGCTGCATTTGATGGCTTGTATTCATTTTAACCTCTTGAGCAACTGGTGGCTTCAGAGGTAGGCTGGAAACAAACTCTTATTTCATGTTTAATACAGCCTGAAGGACAAAGTGATAGTTTTTTCTTTGTGTCATTGACAAACTTATTTAGAGACTACCTCAGATTCAGTTTTAAACTGATCCTACAGCTTTTTCCTATTTATTTTGAGAGTATTTATTGTTGTCTTGATGAGTTGTCAGCTACAGAATGAAAGAATAACATGGTCTTCAGCTAGGATATCAAATAGAATGGGGTATGTTTTAAATCATTCTGGCCTTAAAGACTTTTTTTCTTCTTTTCCCCCCAGATTTTACTGTGTTGTTCCGGTAACAGCCACTATGACTCTGTGTATACCAAAAAATTCCACGAAAATGCTGCTATTTGCCAGGGTAAACTTGAAATCATTTTTCTACAGAAGAGAATTTTGTATTTTCCTGTGTTTATAGGCAGTGTTTGTTCTCAAGGGTGGGGTGGAGGAGGGTGAAAGCTCACTTATTGAATATTGGTCTATACATATGCTCATTATTCTCTTAGGTGGGGTATTGGACCAAATGGTCCCTTCTTCCCACCTGAATTATTTTGTGATCAGATGCATTTACCTTGAAAATTGCAGCAGTTTTTGTAGATCTGATATTATTTTCATTTGGTTTGAGCTTTGTGTTGATTTGTTCAGCTGTATTATATGAGATCCTGTACAAAGATGTGTTTGGCATGGATGAGGAAGAATTAAGGTCTGCAGTTGAGGTGTTTCGAAGTGGATCCAAGAAGAACAGAAACAGTGGCTCTTTAGGAAGTGAGGATGCACACTTTGATTGTCTTCATGAGAAAGTACCCAGAAGTCCATCTGAAAAGAGGTAGTATTTTGGGAAGGGGATGTGATAAGAGGGAAGAAAAAAAATTAATATTAGCTCTTTCATATCTCACAACACAAACACAAAGCTGAAGTGTATTGTGGAAGAGAATGTACTTTCCTTGGGGCTGGGAAATGTCACATAATTGAACATCCTTTGCTGCTCACTAGGTTATAGTTGCTTATATCTAATAAGTTACTGAATGCTTGCAGATGACATTGGTTTGATAGGACTTAGAACAGGGTGTCTTGATGTGCTTGATAGTGCAAGAGATTAATTGGTCATTGGGATCATCTTCATCTTTTCCTAAGGGTAGCAGTAGCCCTCACTAGGGGTGGGTGTTGAAACAGCTGAAGGTCCTGTTCATGGAACTGGGGGAAGGGGTTGTCCTGTATTGCATCACAGCCATGGCTGGTGTTTAAGGCAAAATGTGCCACTTGATGGCACCATGGTGCTTTTTCAGGTTATATGAACAGTTGCTTGATTTTAATCCTGGCTAGAAATGATGTGTTGTATCTTTTGTAATCTTATTTTCAATTGCTTAGAGTGGACAGCTGGGAAGGCAATGATACTGACAATCCACAGGAAGATAAGTTCAAACAAGGCTTTGAAGAAGAAAAGGTTTGTCAGTTAGGGAAGAATTGCTTATGGTGGGTTTTGTTGTATGATGTTACCCTTGCCAGGGCTAAACTCTCTTTTCCTCTTAGTAAAATGACTTTTTGGAAAGGGGGTGGCTTATTTTTTTTTCTGTCTTTTGTTTTTGCCCTTGAGATTCGATTAAATTTAGTGCAAGCCTTTTTCCTTTGAGATTCTTCTTTCCTAGGTCCCCCACCCCAAAGATGGAGCTTAGCAGATGTTTCCTGATCTGCTATTTTTTTTTTTTTTCCTAAAGTGGTTTAAATCAGCTCACTTCTGTTTTGAACAGAGTATAAATCACTTCAGAACAGTTTTAGTAACTACCCAGTTTTCAGATCTAATAGCTGAATGCCCACCAGCTTTTGAAGCCATGGCTTCATTGGTCTGATAAGCTTCCTTGAATTCCTTTTGAGTAAGGAACATGCCAAGTGTAACTCTTGAGCATGTTTTTAACCTTTCCAAAGTCTGTTTGCTCAGCTTCTGAATGCATTTTTGTGATGTTTAGGCAAATATGACACAAGTAAAAACTTTGGAAAATAGCATCTTAAAATGGTCCACAGATGTTGGCAGGATAGAGAGTCATGCTGAACACATTAAATGCACTTGTTAATGCTCCATTTCAACTCTGATTTTAGCCTCTGGAAAACCCATCCAAGATGCCTGTTCCTTATAAAGTGCTAAAGGCACTGGACCCTGAGATCTATCGAAACGTGGAGTTTGATGTTTGGCTGGACAGCAGAAAAGGTATCTTTAAAGAGGGAAAACCAAACAACTCTTCTTGTGCTGGGCTCAGTGTTAAATTCAGGAATCTGAGGCCTGTGTCAGGTGTTCTTGACAGCTGAAATGCGAAGGATGCTGGTTAACCCAGCAGATACTTGTAGGCAGTGCATCTTCTTGGTAGTGGCTGGTTTCTTGGCTTCATTTTAGAGTATGAAATATGTTGTTTATGACACTCTGTAAGGGTGATAAGGTTGCTAAAAATCTGATCTCTGCTACTTATTTACTATAGTAGAGTACAGAACTGTTACCATTCTGTTGGATTGGAAATCATTCAAATTCATGAGTTTTTTTGTTGCAGCATGTGTGCAAGGACTTTGCTTTTTAAAGCATGATTTTGGCTTCAGAGTTGTATAATAACAAAGATCTCAAGTTTAGCATTGAGGTCTGTGAAGTGAGATGAGTTTTTCCTCTTGCTTCCCAGCAATCCTGGGCTTGAACGTTCTGGAGAGATTTCGTGGTCTTTGTGGCCTGGGATAGGTTGCTGCTTTTTGGCATGCACTATGGCTCATCTGTAAAGCAAGAAGTTACCAAGAAGGATAAGTTTTGAAGTGGTGGTTGATGTCTCACCTGAAGTGCTTTGCATGCTGAAGAACTCCAGCATTTTGCAACTGCACAGGCAGTAATGAGGGTCATTAAAATTCTTGGAAGAGAATATAGTAACTAATTATCTGTGTAAGTACTGATGTGCAAAGAATCCAGGCAAGGAATGGAGATGAAACCTACTGAAATCTAGCAGCAAGGAGACTTCAAGCAATATTAGTTTTTTCCTAGGTAACATCTCATTTTTGCCAGGGGTCCCCAGTACTTTGGCAAGACAAGACACTTCCAGTGTTCTTAGTACCAGGATTGGTATTTAATGCAGGATTAACTTGGTCCCATCACAAAAGACATTGTAGTATTGAAGTAGCAGTGATACTGCATTATCTGGATATTACTTATCTCCTGTGGCTTAGCCCAGTTTGGTCTGTTATAAGAACATCTACAGTTACTTCAGTACTATGGGAAATGTTGAGCTATGCTTAGAAAATACTTAACTCAGTTGGCCTATAATGTGTGGTTGGATGCTGTAGTGAAGTACTGGTAGGATACGTGAAGAAAGAACAGTAGTTGAAAGGCTTTTTCCCTTTTTTATTTATTTATTCATTTATTTTTAGAGCTTCAAAAATCTGACTACATGGTGTTTGCTGGGAGACAGTACTATTTAGGAGACAAGTGTCAGGTTAGTACTCAAAAGGAGACTCAGTTATGATAACCTATTAAAACTGCTTTAAATGGAGTGTGGTAAGCTGTAAAAACATTTGACTTAATAGAATTTTTCAAGGCTCTTCTCATTCTCTTCCTTGTAGCTATTAATCTTTCTTTTAAATTTAATTTTATTTCTAAAATCTATCTTTAAACATTGGGTAGTGTGAAGGAAAAGCTGCTTAGAAATTCACTGTGAACCAGTCATACGTATTCTGTGAGTGTAGAAGCTCCAGGCTGAGAGCTCAGGATGTGCAAGGTGTGCATTTGAGGTAGTTGTCTGTTAGATATTCACTGGGGGTCAGCAACAAATCTGTACAATCTCCTGCTTCTCAACAGTAATGTAGCAAATAACTTTATAAAAGAGAAAGGCAAGAGCTAAAAAGGGAGGAGTAGCATGATCTGGCCAGGACATGCTGAAAGGAAGGTCAGCTTTCTTTGTATTCTGCTGTTGTATGTAACTAGGGCTTTTTTTTTTGGTCCCTGTTTGAGGTAGTGCTGATGATTCACTCGGTGACTTGTTTCTAGCTGAGCAGAGCTTTCCTTTCCAATTTCATGTTGTATCTTCTGTTCTTCTCAAGTTCTTAAATAACGATCTTCCCTGGTACTTATCTGCTTGGCACAGCATATAAAAAGTTAGAAAGAAAGTCACTTCTTACCTCTCAGTCTGTCACAAGACTGATTTTTATTTTTTTCCCTTCCTCCCTGAAGCTAGTACAGTGCTTTTTATTTTACCTGCTATTTTGAAGAAGTATTTGAGACTCCTGGGCCAGGCTCAGTGACATAGGATTAGCTAGGAGCAACCTTTGCTGTTTGTGGTTTATAGACATTATTCTGAATCCACTGATACAATTTGGCTTTTGTTTTTTTAGAGCATTGCTTGTTCTCTCTCCAGGTACGTCTGGAGCCTGGAGGTAAGTATTACAATGCTCACATCCAGGAGGTTGGACAGGATGGCAACACGTTGACTGTATTCGTTGAGGAGCTGGCAGAAAAGTAAGCAGTCTGGTGAAAACTTCATATTTTAACCTTTTTTTGGTTGAGTTTGACTATTTGTGGATGCTTAAAATAGGATTAAGAACCGTTGAAAGAAGAGAGAACCTAGTCTTTTAAAAACTGAGGGTTTGCTTCATTTTTTGCTGTCACTCTTCAAATGGGATGTTGCAGGAAACTATTTTTCTCTTGGACTTCTAATAACCTGGATCATTGTAGTTCTTCCTGTGAAACCTTGCTTCTCTGTCTTCTCTGGAATGTGAAAGTGATCTCTGCAGTTTGGACTTGATTCACAGATAGCAAATTACCCCCTGCTGTTGGTTTCTCTTGAGTTCTTATGTTGTACACAAACAACTAAATAATTGGCACTTCTGGTGAGTCTAATCACTTTCTCCACGTTGCTGTTCAAAGCATTCACCCTTCTCTAAACCTAGAATTCAGCTTGATGACATACTGCAAAAATCCTATGTTGTCAGATGCTTTCAGGTGTGCCTCTGAAGACTTACAAATGCAGGGCAGAAAGGCTTGGGCTGGGAAATCAGTAGCACTGAGCCTAAAGCCTGGCTTGCCTTTTTTTAACAAGCAAGTAACAGTAATGTGTGCTCAGTGTCAGATTTTTTTTATTACTATTTCCACAAGCTCCCTACACTCTCAAGTTTGTAGTTTTTTCTATTCTGTCTTAGTGTGGGGTTTTTTTTCAGCTTACATTGTTCAGCTACACACAGTATATCCTTGTGACACTGCTTAACATCAGTGTTCTTGGTGTAGGCATACAGTTCCTTTGGCAAACTTAAAACCAGTGACACAAGTGGCACCTGTCCTTGCTTGGAATATGGTTCCCAGCCGAAAAGGAGGAACCTATCAGAAAATAGCAGGTGGATACTTCTCAGGAATAGGTTTGTACAAAGTTTCCACAAGCATTCCTTTCCGTTGGGGAAGTGGGGGAGACACAGGTGACAGCTTTAACAGTAGCAGTCTTTAGATATTTTATAGCATCCAGCCTGTGATATAAAACTTGGTCGCTGCAGGGTTTGATGTAATGTGATTTTAATATGGACTTTTTTACAATAAATAAACGCAGCCTGCAGAAAGAGATTTTAGCAGTGAGGGTACTGGTTTGATCAGGTGAAGCTGGGAAGATATCCACAAGTAGGATGCTCGTATTCTGCAAATAATTTAGAATGCCTGCTCGAGCTTCCAAATAAGGGTATGAAGCTTGGATCCTTCTAATGCACTTTTTGTGGGATAGGCCATTGGCTCACTCTTTTCTGTGTCCAAATATTGACTCTTCTCAAATGATAAAGAGAAAGGTACCTGTGGAGTCAGCTGTTTAAGGTGTAAATCTGCCTTTTGTGTCCTCAACCACAACTGCAGAAATGGATCTGAAAACACGGAAGAGAATGCTTAAGAAAGTCCGTGGAAAGGAAGTCTTTATGACTGTGGCTTATAGCAGGGGCCAGCCAGTCCTTCCTCCCAGGCTGCAGCACAGCGTTCCCACGGGGCGCTCCCCTCCAGTTCACTGCTCACAGGGTGGTGGAAACGTGGCACCTTATGAACCTTACCACCCTCAGCAGCCTCCTCCGAGATACGGCCGTGGATTTGGGATGCCGAGGTAGGAAGCCTTGAATAAACCTGCCTGAGATCACCCTTTTGTGTTCTCGTCACTCTTGCTGTAGACTGGTTAGGGGAGAGAGCTTGTGTTATTTCATAGATAACACTACAAATGAGTTCCATCTGAGAGGCACTTCCTGGTAATTGCACCTTTTACCCTTTAAACTTAGGGGATCTGCCCGATTTATAAACAGGCACAACATGGTTGACCCTCAAATAGCATTCTACCCCAGTCCAGGGAAGAGAGGCTGTCAGAGCTATGACACTTTCTCCTGCAGGTCCTGGTAAGTGAATATAAACCTCTTTACAAAACGTTGCTCTAAAAAGCCGGGGAGGATGGTGGGAGAGAGAGATTTGGAGGGCTGAGTTGGCTGTTAGTGGCACAGTGTGAAACAAGGGGTTTAGTTGTGCCTCTCCAAAAAGAACAGCGTTAAAATTGAGCAGTGAACCCAAGATGAAACTCTAGAGAGGGATGATTCTGAACTTCCTTTCTTGTTTTTATAGCTCATACAGCCGTAGCCGTCGTCAGATGCAGTGTGTGAATAAAGACTGTCAGTTTGGGTTTGTACCAGGGAATGGAGAAGAGCCTCAAGAACAAGAAGAAACTATAACTTTCTATGAAGTTGAAGGAGAGGATGACACTGCATTTCCTACTTTACCAGTAAGTTATGAACAAGGGATGTGTTAAAACCTCTCAGAAAGGAGTGGGTGGAGGAAAACTGTACAAGTGTCTAGAACATCTTCACCTAAACCTACAGCAGCATTTATTTTTTTCTTGGAATAAGCTTTTAGCAGTGAATGTTTTTTTTTGAGCAGGGAAAGCTGAAATGAGTCTAGATCTGGTAAAACCTGCTTAAAATCTCAATTTTTCTGGATATTCCTCTTCTTTCTCCCTCTTTTCACTGACAGCAGGCAGCACTTTTTTCTCTTTAGTCTATTTTCATAACAGTAGGGTCATGTTTCTCCTTTCTATTGCACTTTGAAAACAAACCACTCCAAAAATCCCTTCCTATTGTGGATGCCTGGCTAGCATTAAATATTGTGGGAGAAAGCTTTTCATTTGTTTGCCACACTGTAATTTATCATTTGTGTACCTAGATTCAGAAACTGCATGGTGATAGCCTGGATTGTTCCTGTGAATTCATAGTTGTGGTGTTCTGGGCTCATGTGCTGTTCCTGAAACAGTTTCTTCTGCTACAGGAACAAAAGAAAATTCCAAATCTAGACTTCTCTTAGAACAGTCTTGACCAGTCGTTCTCTCAGGCTGTAAAGTAGTGCAGTGTATTCTTAAATTTAAAAATCTTTCTCTTTTAGTTGTAGTCTAAGCCCAGTACAAAGCTGGATATGTGACAAAAAAAAAAATCAATTGGTATTCAGGTATGTGAACAGGAGAGCAGACCTTTTCTAAAAAACCCTGGTAGGTTTGAATTGCTTTTTACTTAACAAATGTTAGCCTTGTATTTAAATGCCAGAGGAGGAGTCTGCTCAGGGCTGTTTCAGCAGAAGCCATTTTTTAATTTGCCCACATGTGCTGGATCTGTAATCTTTGCTCTGATTTTTTTTTTCCTCCAAGAGTCAAGAAATAAGGACAGATTATCCTGCAATTATTTTTTTTTCCCTGACATGAAATCAATATAGCTTAGTAGCTTTTCCTTCCCATTGCTAGATGATATACCTGCAGCTCCTAATGAATCATTTTTCATGTTCGTTCTGTGACTTTATTGTTGTCAATGCCAAAAAGCCTTTTCTCTGTCTCTTCCTTGTCTTGTTTAGTAAAGGAATATAACATTTGCTGGGGAAAGATGCATCTCACAGAAAACTCTGCCATCCTACTAGAGGCCTGGTGGGAGAATCTTCTGACTTACCACCTCTGCTTCAACCTTGGAAATCTTACGAGCCTCTCTGAGGACTTTATCGATCTCATAGTCATCATGTCTTCTGAGGAGAGTTTGAGTGTCACCTTAGCCATCACAAAAGAGTGAATCAACTTACTTTACTTGGGCATCTTAATCCTATATTCCTGCTTCAGAGAACTCTGTTTTTACTGTGGTGCAGCTAAGGACTGATTTGGGTGCAAAGACAAAGGGCATGTGAAGTGTTAAAGGAGCCCTGTGGGAAATCCTGATGGATGCTGCTCTCTGGAAAAGTCAGGCTTGCATGTGTGGGTCAAGTTAGTGCAGTCAGTGGTGTCTGTGCCTACCTGTGAATTTCACTAATTGTGACTAAAGAGAACCTTTTTGCATGGTAATTGGAGTATTTGGATGAACTTTTGGTGAGGTGGGAATCCTCCAAGAGGAGGAACACAGGAGTATATGTTTGGGGTAGCAGTCTTGGCTGTTGTCTGGGGTCTGCTTCCTCCTTTTCAGCTTTCTTTGAGCTTGAGTTAAAGCTGGCTAAGTTCTGGGAGGGAGTAACTTGACTGTGTGACACAGGACAGTGGTAGGTCTTCAGAGTTCACCAGAAGTATTCTAGGCTTCAAAAACCAAATGCCATAAGTATGCTGAGCAGAACAAAAGGTAAGGGAAAGAAGTGTGTCCACTGCTGTTTCCCTGCCATCAAGGTACATAGGTGCAGTCACAAAAATGGTAATTCTAGTGAGTTTTGGTTGCAGCAAAGTTAGTCTGCCAGCCTGTTTCTACTCTGCTGTGTGTGGAGCATTGGAAAGCCTTTAAACTGCTTCTCAATGCACACTTCTGACTTTGCCTTTTAGAGCCAGGGTAACCCTCCTGCCATTGTCCATGGTCCAGCAGGATTTTGGGTAGCAAGGGGTGCCACAAACTCTGTTCCACCTAACAAGCAGACCCTGAATTCCTCAGAGGAGGAAGAAGAAACAAGTGACAATGGTAAGTTCTTAAAGGATTAGTGGCCTAAAAGAGATGTTTAGAAGATCTGTGTGTTTGATAGTAGGTTCCTTACATCTCCTAACTGCCTGTTTATTGGGAGCTTTGAATGTGCATGTGAGCATGTTGTTTTTCTTCTTTGTCTGATAAAAATGGGTCACTTCTCTTTAAGTTTGCTGTGCCATCACCCTTGTGATAGCTTGGGTCTGTAGCCAGCCAAGTTGCTGCTTAAAAATGTATGAATTTGGTAATGGCAACCTTGACACTTGGTGAAATAAAATGAATATATTTTGAGTGTTTCTCTACCTTTTCTGCACAAAACCAGATGATACTGAAAGCAGATCTTTAATGGATGCACTGAAATGTAACTGTAACTTCACCTTTAAGCTGCCTTTTTTTTCTGAGTCAGAGCTTCCCATTCTCTCTCTTGTAGGGAGATTTAATGAAGAATATATCTATGCACCTCCAGGTAAGTAAAACTTTAGTCTTTACTGGTAGAACACTGGGTGAATGTAATGTACTGATCATGACCTTTTTATATATTCTGAAGGATTAGATGTAATGCTGATTTTTTTTTTTTCCAATTAATTTTGCCTGTGCCCTCCAGATCCCAACTGTGAAGCTGCAACAGTGTTTAATTCAGCAGAGCCTGCAACCACCTTGGTAAGCTTTAGTCACTGTCTGTTCAGAGCAGGGATCTGTGGTGTGTGTGGCATTCTTCACAGGAACTGCCCTTAGATGCAGGCTTTATTAGGGCAGAGTCTTCTTTTGTATATTCACCCACTTTTTTTCTCCCTGAATGGTTTTTATCAGAGTCTGTGAGTACAGTCTGAATTGTACTAGATAAATTAATGATTTTCCACCTTCCCAGTCTGCAAAGAGAAAGTGTGTACTTGAGTGCTGTGTACTTTCCTTTTTCTGCTCCAGACAGCACTTACTTTCATGATGCTACTCTTCAAGTCCTGTTCCACTTAGTCTTACTCTTGTACTGTGGGTCTGGAGGAACTTCACCTCTGATAGAACTGACTTTGGAATTTTTATTTTGTTAATCTGAAACTGAATCTTCAGTCACCTGGTGGTCTACATTGGTTTTGAAAACCACCCTTGTGCATGTCAGAATAAAACTGTTTTTACCTGAGTTACAATCTTCTGAGTGAGTATAGTCCATAAATTAAATATAAAAGTTTAGGGGAGTGGTGTGTGTGCCTTGTGAATTCGTTGCCTCTTAAATGAACCATTCCCTTTGGAATTACTTCAGGAAGAAGGGCCAGTCTCTGCATCTCCTCAGGATGGAGTGGCTTCCTACAGCTATCCTCAGAAGGTAGTACCTAATACTTTATTGTGGTCGCCCTGTGGAGAAGTGATTGCTCCTGCTTGATTAGTGTCAATTTGTGGGGTCCCTCTGCTTGCCCCTTACACCATCTTGAAGCAAAGAATACAATTCTTGATGTACAAAACCAAAACAGAAGGGTGAGGAGGTGCCCTGCTGGTGACAGGTGCCTCTAAACTGGTATTTTTAAGCTGATTTTTAGAGAATTGAGATGAGTCCTAGTTGTGCAGGCAGCTTCCAAAATGCATTTTATGTAAAGTGAGAATTTCTGAACTGTGTGATATTTCTGTAGTCTTTGTCAAATGAGTTGTTGAGACAGTCTGCTGAATCCTGTGACTCTCTTCCAGGTGCTGGTGAACTCTGCAGCAATCTCAGCCTCAGCAGGGGTTTATGCTGCTCCTGCTCCAGGCTTCTGCTCCAGTTCTGCTGCCTCCACCCCAGCCAGGGTCCCCACAGCAGTTCCCCCCCCAGCAGCAGTGCAGCCAGTGGTAGTGTCTCCCCTTTCTGTGGGGAGGCCAGGTAGAGTGCACACACTGCAGCTGGGGAGCTGGAGTTTTAAACATGGAGTGCTTCCTTTGGTTTCAGATGACTTAGTGGCAGTTGTTATTCACTGCTGGCTTGCTCTCATGTTTTGCTCCCAAATTTGCAAGTCTCTACTTTGGGTTCCCCCCTCATCACTTTTAGCCATCATTGCTGAGTGTTTTGCTGGAAGGTGCTTTTGTGAGGGCAGAAGTTCCTGGCAGCTCCTTTCTCCCTGTGTTTCCTACAGCTCGTTTTCCTCTGGAGCTGAGGGGTTGTCCTGAGGCTTTACTATCCCTGTGCTGAGTTATTCCTGTGCAGGGAGATCAGATGTGTGATTTGTCCCGTGGTTCACTAACCCCCTGTAATGCTCTCTCTCTTTTCTTCTTGGGAAATGTCTCCTAAGAAAGAAACTTTTTTTTTTTCCTATTTTCAGAAGAGGATTTTTCATGTCTTCTCAAGCTCTTCTTACAGCATCCAAAGAACCCTCCACCATCAATCCTGCTTAGTTCTGTCTCCCTTTTCTTCTCTGTTTTTCTCCTTGGTTTTTTTCCCCACCCTGTGAGAGGTTAGCAGCACAGGTCTCCAGGCTGTCCACTTGCTGATGCCATTCCAAATAACCTGCTGCTGTTTAGGGTTATGTGCCACCTAATGAGTGTTTAGCTGTAGTCCATCCCAAATGACATGTTTGGCCTGACATGTTTTGAACCTTCCCTTATTTTTGGCCTTATTGTCACAGATCTGATGACTTACAGTGATAAATCTGTTCCCTCTTGTCCTAGGACAGACAGCTATGTAAAGAAAGTCTGGCCTGCCTTCTAGTAGGGAGAAATGATTGAAAAGTACATTCTTAACTGGAGTGTCAGGCCTGCAGACAGACGTGCAGTTAAGGCTTGTGAGATATAAAATCAGATGGGAAGTTTCTAATTTCTCCTGGACATTTATAAGTGGTTCCTGAAGACACCTGTTAAAGCTTGTGGTTAGGGACCCCGAGATGACAAAGAAGTGCAAGTTTAATTGTGTAACTTAGCTCCTTGCTTAAGAGATGTGCCATTTCAAGCTTGACTTGACTTTTGTTTCCTTCTAATTGTAGCAGTTTCTTCAGTTCCATTGCCCGTTTATTCACCGCCTCTGCCTCCAGTCAGCGAAGTGGGAGAAGCTGGTGCTGTTCTTCCACCTTACTCTTGTGATCCCAGTGGCAGTGATCTGCCTCGAGGTAACAATGGAATTTTGTGCTTTAACTGCTGCTGCTCTTCAGCATGCTTCTGACTTGTGTTCTCCATGGAAACTTAACAGGATACCTGGAGTGAGCAGAAATGGCTCTTTGCAGCTCGCAGGGAGTGAGAAATAATATTTTGGATGCTTATGCTAAAAATGTGTTAATTCCTTGTTCTGAGCAGGTTCATATCTGACTGGAATAAGTGATTACTGCAACTTTAGACAGCATTTTAAGGAAACAAATACCAAGGGTGAGGGTGATTGGCCTATATCATACTGGTTCTTGTTAGGGTAATGATTTTTCTGATTGATTATAGATACATAGGGGTTTTTTTAAGTTGTGCTGTTGCACAGTCCAGTGGGATATTGTGTTGTTTTCCTGTAGGGCTCCAAGATATCATTCTGTGGTATCAAAACTGGGCATAAAGTGTAGGGTCACCTTGTTCCTTGGGTGCCCAGCATTTTTGCATGCTGTAGTCAATTGTGACATGATCTAAGGTACACTTCAGATATTAAGCAATGAGTGTGCAAAGACCGACATCGTGCCACCAGAAGAGCAGCTCAGAAACCAGCTTTCAGCTTTATCAGCTGAACTTGGACTTAATTTTGCAAGTGATAATCTTTAGTCAGCTTATTCCCACAATTTAAGGATATCAGCACACTGTGCAAGGCTGCATCAGGCAGCTGAGCTTGGTAAGCAGTGCAACAGGCATATACATATTTAATGTCTTTTGTCCCTGTTATTAATTTATCTCCTCATTCTGTCATGTTTATGGCTGACAAGGCATAAATAGAGCCTGTAATTCAGAGAGCTTTTTTTAATAACCCAAAGATGAAGCTGTCTGTTGTCCTTACTGCAAGTTAAGTGCATGTCAACAACATGAATAATAGTAACCCCTTGTTGTTCTGTGATGTGTGTTGTATTTATCTGGGTGGGGAGTCCTGTGGGACACAAACACGCCACTGTTGCATCACTGCACACATGGTAAGAGGCAGATAGAACTGTTTTGTGACAGTGTCTTGTCATAGCTGGTGTGGATTGTTGGTTGTATGTGGTTTTGGACAGCTGTAGAAAATGCTCTCTATCATGTGTGTGTTCCCTTGGCCACTATTTTGATGGTTCATTGGCTCAAACTGCTCTAAGGATTAAAATATTAGAAGGGCTGTAAAAGAGAACTTGATTATTCAGCCTGCTTGTCTTCTTGATAGAAAATTAGCTTGTTCTAATTGGTTTTGCTCAGACTGGAGCAGGAAGCTGTACTGGCTACGAGTTGGAGTTGCCACTCCATGTACAACAGCAGCAGCTATTTCTGCCTTCTCTGGCAGGGGGAAGCTATTTTTGGCAGTGTGAGCTAGATGTAAGCTGTAGTCTCCTTTGAAGAGCAGCAGTGCAAAACTAGCTGGCTGTTTGTTTTTGTTGTACAAGTAATGGGTGTATCCCTCTGCACATTGTTTGAAGCACTGATGTTTTTTCAGTATCCCCCATGCACTGGATATGTTGAAAGTCTGTGCATCATAGCCAGCTTATTCTAATAGCTATCTTTCCATGCAGCAGATAACATAATTTTATCAGACTTGCCACCTTTAGTTCAAGTTCCTAAATCTCCCATGTTCTTTGATGTGGAGAGTAGGTTTTCATTCAGGGGCGAGTGAGGGAAGGAATTGGCTGCATATTGTGTGGGGTCTGTGAAATCCAAGCATTCCTTTTTGCTCTCTTCTGAAAAGTGTACATTCACTGTAACAGTCTGACTTGATTACCTCCCAGCTTTCTCCCCCCCCCAAAAAAACCTCCATCCTTGCAACTGTCTGTATTTCAGGCATATGGCAGCTCCAGCTTCTACTGCATGGCAATGTAAAGCTTGAAACTTTTATCCCAGAATTGATTACTTGAAGATGAAGCATAAAATATTTTAGTGGTGTGGTTGTTTTCATGCATGATTCAAGGTACTGCCCTCTAAAGCAGCTCTGCCAGTCCTGTGTGGGACTGTTCCCAATGTACTAATCCTAGAGGGTTTGTTTCAGGTAAGCTAATGAGCTACTGTTGGTATCTTCAGTTCAGGTAGCTACATCTGGTAGGTTGCACAACAGCTTGGGCTGAAGTAGGATGGATTCTTTCAGATGTGTTTACCATGTCATGTACTTGTTGTGTCAACAGCTGATCTGAAAAAGGCAGGTTCTGGAACACTGGCCTGGCTGCTTAAAGGCCTGCTGCTCTCCCAGGTACTGCAGATGTGCTCTGCAGTGACTGGTGCTCTCACAGGCACTGCCTGTGAGAATTCCTTCCATTCCAGGGTTTCTTATGAATGTTCTGTTTTCCACTTCCCTGCTGCAGTAGCATCACTCTAGATGAGGCTGTGGCCACAACAGAGTGAACAGTTTTCAGCTTTAGTTGAATGCCCTTGACTGAGGCTTTCAGCACCTGGGAGAATTGGGTGTGAAGTGTGCTGACAAGAATCTGGAGTGCATGTGGGTTAATAACCTCTTTGGCACCTGCCTGTAGCTCTTCAGCCCAGTTGCTCCACAGAATTTTGTCTTCTATGCCTTCTTGGCATAGACTGTAGAACTTTTCTGAAGGATTCCAAGGCTGGTAGACAATCAGGAATTGCATGTAACATTTATGTTGTCTCACTGCTGTAGTACAATCTGTGTAGCCTTTCAGGTAAGAAATCTAGAAGCTGTGGAGTAATGCTGGGGAGCACAGGTTGCTCTGCTTGACCTCAAGTACTGTGCATTTCACTGAGGATACTCACAGGCCTGGTATTTGGGTTGGGAGTGTGACCTGTCAACAGACTGACATCCTGGACTTTGGGAGGAAAACCTGCCATGTGCCTTGGTGTCACTTGGTCCATCTACACTTGCTCCCATTTTCAGAGTCTCTTGGATCTTTTTTTAAAGAACCTCAAGACTTGTGAAACATGTTTATTAATGTGGTGACCTTAAGTCTCCTACCCTCTCCTGCTGCCTTGTATTTGAAGGAGCTGTTGATAAAAGACAGCTTGATATTACTGTGTTCCAGAGACTGCAGGATTGACCAGAGCTTCCCAGCAGCACAGTAAACATTTTATCATTATTTTTATGCATGATTTTTTGGCACTGTAAGATGAGTTTTTTTTATCCGTAGTCAGCGTGGTCTTTATCTTTTCATGTCAGGGTGCTTCACTTTTTTTGGCTCAGCTATTGCTTCCTAAGGTAGTTGTGTTTTACTTGGGATTGGCTTGATTTGTAGACATCTGAAAGAGGAATATCAACAAAAACTGGTCTCCTACTGACTGGCTTCTGTTCCTGCATTCGGCAGCCGTCAGTATTTCCAGTGTCAGTTTGTCACTTGAGTCTCCCAGCTCTCCCTTTGTACTGTTATCCTTGCTATGAAGCAGCTGCTTCATTCAGCTCCTCTACTTGTTTTGCATAGATTTGCATAAACAATTGAAGAACAAAATCAGATTTAAAAAAAAAAAAATAAAAACCCCAAACAGAAACCCAACTTGTTCTAAATGTAGATGCAGTTTCAGTGAGATAGTAACAAGTTGGTGTTTCTGTGGGCATTTGGGTTGGTTTCAGTGTTTTACTGACTGTGGTCAATGGCACAGCCAAATCTCCACCATTTCCAGGGGTGAGCTCACAGCTGTTAAATAAATGGAAGGATCTCTCTCCCTGCTTTCCTTTTCAGCTGCCAGCAGCACTGGAGCAAAGGCTGTGGTGCACACACATGGGAACCTACTGTGGAATAGGTGATTGGCTCAGCCTTTAAACCAGATCTGTATTTGAATCTCAGAAACCAAAATTGTGGCTTCTCTTCTCCTTTCAGTGGTCGACTTTAAATGTTTAAAACTGCTTCACTGTTTATGGATGGTTGGAAGTGCATTCCCAAGTTCAAATCCCTGTTGTTCTTGGAGAGTGGTTTCAAAGTTTTTCCAGGCATCTGGGATTACTTCTCAGTGTGTCAGGCATTTGCCTGGGGGCAAATCATTCAGTATATGGAAGACAGAAGTAAAGGACTACTGGCAGGAAAGCAAGGAACTGAGTACACTTGTTAGGAAAGGAGAAAGAAAATGGAGGAGGAACAAGTATGTTCTTTCTGACTTCATACACAACTAGGGGGACCCCCAAAACTAGGAAAGAATGTCTTACAACAGCTGCATATGTTGTCCTCCTTGACATGTCTCTGTGGTCACTGCTCAGCAAAGCTCTGAAGATGGAGATAGTGGCAGATTGAGACTTGACACTGGACAGAAGCCACATGAAGCTGGACTCTGGAGCTGGTTCCTTGTCCCAGCATGTTGTGGGGGGCATTGTTGCTGGTGTATGAGAAGCTCCTGCTGTCTGCAAGCTTCCAACCCCTTTCACATTTCTGCAGTGAGGAAGGGATGGCTTTCAGTGGTCAACTTAATTTAGGGGCTCATAATCAAATTTTTACTTGATAAAATTTTTTTCTCTAAAATCTCAGCCTTAATAGGAAGCCAGAATTGCTTCAGGCATAGTTGCTTGTAACAACACTGTCAATTCTCACTTGAGTAATTGAGGTGAATAAACCAAAATTAAAGCTAATGTAATCGTTGAAGTTTGATAATAAATTGGTCAGACAAATGCTCTACTACTGCACAAATATCTGCCTGGATTAACTTCAGAAGATAAACAAGTTCTATTTATATTTGAGTTGGATTCCTTACCCTTGGAACTTTAAAGTCATGCTAAAATACTGTTATTCATTAAGTAAGAATAACTTAAAATAAAATGCTCCTAATGTGTGTAAATTTCCTTTGCTTCTCAGTTTATGTTGTTCTGCTCTTTAATGTCTTATCCTTTCATTTCAGACACCAAGGTCTTGCGGTATTACTTTAATTTGGGATTGCAAGTAAGTGCTTTTAAAATGAGCATAGTAAATTGCCTGTAAAAACTGCTGGTTTTCCTGACAAATGTACTGATGTATTTAAGGCTTCCCAGTGTGCTAAATGTGCATCCTGTGCACTTGACTATTAATATGTACAGGCTTGCTTGGTGGAGATTAAAGTATAGCTCAGCAGGTGAAGTTCTAAGTCAAAAGGTGAAGCACACTAGTGTATGTGTTTAGTTTGACTTGGGGACATGTGTGCTTGTTTTTGCAGTGGATGGTAGATAAATATTGTTCTTCCTATGAAGATAAGGGGAGAAACTTGAACCCTTCTTAAGAAAATTTGTGTACTTAGACAAGACATCAAAGACCATTTAGATGAAGTGTGGTTTGAGTCTTCTAGGACTCGTGCAGCTGTGTTCAGACTGGTTAGCACCATTTCTGTGTGTTCTGGGAGCTCTTACTCTGCTGAAGAATTGTCTCTGCACCAGCAGCCACGGGCTTTGTCAGTGCTGCTGCTCAGGGAAGTAAAAGAAGTAATGTCAGCTTCTTCAGCTGAAGAAATAGGAAAAATCTCTTTGAATGTGACAAGTCGATAAGTGAGAATCTTCTTTCTCTGTAAAGATTTCTGACACAACAGCAAAGTGTAACTGGGGTGGTGGTTGCTACAGATTTTGCAGTATCTTTTCTGGTAGGCTCTAGGAGTTCTTCTTGGTGTGTGTATAGTAACTTAAGGGGCTAAGAAGGAAAAAATGCACTTCTTCCTAACTTTAGATATGAAACGAGTAACGATATCAAGGAGGGATGGAGAGTATATGGTTGGATGCATGACCCTATATTTTTTTCCCCTTTTCTCAAAGTATTGTCATCAGAGCTATTGGCCTTCCATGGTGTATGTACAGCCAGTGCTGCCACCATCACCTGTGGAGGTTTTCCCAGCATACACTGAGCCAGCACCTGTCCTGGACCAGCCAGTAGCTCAGCTCTACACTGATGCTGGGAGAGCTGAAGTCCACCAGGTTCCCTTGGAAGCACCTGCAAATGGTTAGTATTTAAGACCACGTACAGTACTGATGAGAAGTGAGGGGATTGTGTCTTCAGAGCGTGGCTGCTCCACAGGAGCTGATGTCTGCAGCTCTGCTATCCTGTAGGAAGTGTGAGGCTGGGAGGACATACAGAAAACCTGGTAAGGGGTTGCCACAGATGGCAGAGGAACTTGTGATACTACTGCAAGTATGTCACAGTCACTGGTGTAGCCACCAATGTGTCAGGGGCTTTTTAAAGCCATAAAAAGTAACCCTGTCTAGGGATGCTGCCTTTAACTTGGGTGAACTTGTAAAACTGAAGGAATCTTTTTGTTTCCTGGTAAGCAGATAGTCATGGTATCAAACCAGAATGCCTGTATTTAAAGGAGACAGTTGAGTTTTGGCAAGAACTGAACACCAATACCTCAACTTCACAGAAAGTTTTAAAAGGAAGATGTTGCAGGCCTTGGTTTTAGGCTCAGCATGCTGAGCTGTGACCTCTTGAGTAGCCCTTATTGCTAGCTGCATCTCCTACTGTGCATAAGTTTACAGCAAAACTTAGTTTTGCCCAGCAGCTTTGTCACAAGCTTGTATGGATACATTTGGCAGTAAATAGAAGGGTTGTATTAAATTTCAGATGTCTGAAAGGTCAGATGCCCAGCTCATTAAAATCTGTGGAACATGGCAAACAGTTCTGGAAAGAGCACAACATAACAGAACTGTTGCTCAGAGGCATGCAGGTTATTGCTCTGCCCCTGCTTCAGCCTGTTCAGCTGGGGTGGTTCTTTTGCATAGATGGGTGTCCCTGTCAGAGCAAACAGGGGAAGAATATATTAGCTCTCCATCTTGGTCCCTCTTGAAAAAGCTGCCACTCCAAAGCAGAGTGCTGCTAAGCAATTCTTGAACAGGGATTAGTGGGAAGATGAGCAAGTTGTCCTCTAGTCTAAATTGGGTCCCCAGATGATTTTGATCTCCCTATTAGAAGCAACGTGTATGGGCATAAAATTATCACCTAAATGATTTTCCCTTTTGGTCACCAAAATAATGCTGTGTTCAGGATGATGAAACTCTGAATCAAAGGCCATAGATCAGTAAAGTATGGTAAGTGTATGTATTTTGTTCTGTTTTTTTAAGGTAACTTCCAAAATGCAGAGCCTCCAGCCCTGTCCTATGGGCCAGTGTATTACCCAGTGGTGTCAGACCCCTTCAGCCAGCAGCCTGTTCCTGCCTTTGATCCTCTGGTACCTGCCTATCGCTACGTTAGCACCTGGCAGCCAGTAAGTCCACAGTATGGAACTTCTCCCCAAATTGCTGCTCCTGTAAGTCCTGGACCACTGCACCAAGTCAGCTATATTGCCTCAACCAACCCTTCACCTCATGATGTGCCTCAAGGAATGTAAATCTGGGAGCTCTAAGTTCATTTCTTGCCCTTGGCTTCTCTGTTTCTTGTTTGTCAGCTGTGTGTTCATATTGTTTTGTAAATGTTATCCTGTCTCAGTGGGCTGGGCCAGCTGATTGATCTGCATTCAAATTTCCTGTTTCTCTTTAGTTTTACCCTAGTGATAAGATACCTTGTCAAGATGTTGTTTTAGTCGATGTAGGAAAGCACAGGGAAAGATTATCCACAAACAACAGCTCAGGGGACACAAATCTGGGACTCAGCCACAGAAAGTATGTGTAAAACTATGCTCTGACTAAATGTTGCATCGTGTACCTCTCAGGGGTTGCACTGGGGCACTTAGACACGTGGCTTCTTGTTTAAGCACTGAAATAGGCTGCCATTAAAAATGCAGTTACAAATTGGGCACTGGGTCATTAGAGGATGAAAATGTTTGCAAGAGATGGGCTTTCTCAGATTTCACAAAACAAAACTGCTTTGCTGCTAGCAGTGGAATATTTGTGATGGCTGTATTTCTGATGTCATTCTGTGTAGGTTTCATGACTCTTGAAAGGGTTAGAATACTGTTTTGACCTGTTGTATATTCCTGTACATTTGTAAGATTTGTTTTGTGAAAGCTGTTGCACAACTGGTGATAGTCTTGGTGTTTATTTTGCACTGAGAGCACAAAATAAAAGCATTGAACACATGAAAAGGAGTGGTCATTTATCACTGGCAGGTTATGTTCCTGGCAATTAGTCATCCAGCAGCCTGGCTGGAAGAAATGTAGTTGTTTTGTCAGGGACAAGGCTGCTCCAGCCTTCATTCAGAAAGCAGCAAAAGCTTTCAGCATGAGAATGATGTTCAGTGGAAAGCTCTAGCTGTGTTTTTGTTGATAAATTTAGAAAGAAAACATTGAATAGTCTGTGCACGTGAACTGCAGTTCTTGCAAATGACAGTCTGCACAGGCTCTGTCCTTCAGAGGAGTTTGGGCTGTATGTTCAAAACCAAGAAGTGGGTTTGAGTTGGGCCAGGCCCACAGCCCTGGGGCACTGTGGTGGCATAGCCCTGTCCTGGGGTGGCACACAAGGGGACAAGTGCAGGTTGTGCTAGCTCAGAGCCAGAGGCCCTGAAAACCAGCACAGGTAATTAAGCATTTACTGCTTTCTGGAGGTGCTCTGCTGAATCCTGTGACTCTCTTCCAGGTGCTGGTGAACTCTGCAGCAATCTCAGCCTCAGCAGGGGTTTATGCTGCTCCTGCTCCAGGCTTCTGCTCCAGTTCTGCTGCCTCCACTCCAGCCAGTGGGTGCCCCCCCGCCGGTCCCCCCCCCAGCAGCAGTGCAGCCAGTGGTAGTGTCTCCCCTTTCTGTGGGGAGGCCAGGTAGAGTGCACACACTGCAGCTGGGGAGCTGGAGTTTTAAACATGGAGTGCTTCCTTTGGTTTCAGATGACTTAGTGGCAGTTGTTACTTCACTGCTGGCTTGCTCTCATGTTTTGCATGGGACAGTTGCCCCCAAATTTGTAGGTTCCTACTTTGGGTTCCCCCGTTGCCCCTTTTAGCCATCACTGCTGAGTGTTTTGCTGGAAGGTGCTTTTGTGAGGGCAGAAGTTCCTGGCAGCTCCTTTCTCCCTGTGTTTCCTACAGCTCGTTTTCCTCTGGAGCTGAGGGGTTGTCCTGAGGCTTTACTATCCCTGTGCTGAGTTATTTCTGTGCAGGGAGATCAGATGTGTGATTTGTCCC